CATGTACATTTGACATAAGGAGGAAATCAACGTGAGCATATTACTGGTAATTAAGCTCCAGACTGTTTTTCCCACTAACGTCCTTTTTCTGTTTCAGGTTCAAATCCAGGATAGCATATTGCATTTTGTATTTAGTTGTTTTTAAAGAGTAGGAATTAACTCAGTGATATTCCTCTTGCACAACTTTTGCAAGAAGAGTTTAAACTTTTCAAGATGGTCTACTGAACTGGTCTGAAAAGCTTAACGTCTGTATTTCTTTTATTACATTAATTTGCAAATCAAACACACACACACACCTACACATACCCCAAAACCATACATTCTAACTACAGTTTTTTGTTCACAATGCTTTAGAATAGAAACTATAAAATATGTTTATTATATATGCCCGTTGCAACAGCATGGTTCTTCCCTATAAACTCCCCTTAGTACTGAAAATAAATCTGTTTGGAGCCAGCCCTGAGCATAAGCATGGGAAGAAAGTTTTGCAGGTGTGGCTGCCCACCGGGAAGCTAAGCTTGAAAAGGTAGACAAAAAGGGGGGATGCCATCTGTCTGTCTAGTCGGCAGTTCGTGCTTCCTAAGGATTTTTTACTTAAAAAAAAGTCAGCATAAATTAAGCAAGAGTTAAGTGCTCCTGTTCTGTGCCAATTATCCGCCTTCAATTGCAGGGTCTCAATCGCAGTATTTTTAAAACGCGGACATGCATTTCTTAATTTCTAAATACAGTTGTTCTTGAGATGGCTGTTAGAGACGCCAAATGACCACAATTTAAAATCTTCTTCACTGCCGTCAGTGCCCATTACCACCTTTCTCTCCACCAAAACTAATCTCCGTGCGACCCAGATGGGACTCGAACCCACAATCCCCAGCTCCGGAGGCTGATGCCTTATCCATTAGGCCACTGGGTCACCACAGGATCCGGGTTCTCACACCGTCTCCTTACGCGATGCCATCATCGCGCCCCGCCCCGCGCTCCGCGCTCCGCGGTCTCGCGTCGGGCGCCGAGTTATTTGGAAGCCGCCCAGCGGCGGCAGCGCGCGCCTGCGCCTCTCTGCGCCCTCCGCCCGGCCCGGCACCCGCGGCCTCGTGCGCCTGCGCGTGGCCCTCCCCGCCCCAGTGCTCCGGCACTGCGTGGCCGGCACGCGGGAGGCTGCGGGCGCCTCTCGGCATGTGGGCTTGGAAGGTTCTCTGTCCTCGCTGCGCGTTATGCGTGCTTGGGGAACTCAGGCGAAATTCCAATGCCTGTCCTCCCTCCGTTCTAATTCTGTTTACCGGAGCCCGGGCGTCTGCATTTTACAAAGTTCCCTGGGATCGCCTAGTGCCGCCTCCCGCAGAGCCTGAGCCACTTCTGCTACCTACACACCCTACAACCTTCCCGTCCCTTGCTTTCCCGCAGTTACTCAGTGTGCAGCGTTGTTATAAACTATCATGTGCTGGGGATTGTTGGGGGACTCCAGGGGGCACAGGCTTTTTTTTTTTTCTTTTTTCCCAAATCTGCCCTTCTCCCTCACTCATTTAACGTCCATTTTTCTCCCCTGTCTCTTCTTTACCTCCGGATTAAAGGGGAAATAGATATAACAAGGTCCGTCAATACAAAACAATAGGGATTTTGTTTTTATCCTGTCCTGGGTCCTGGATAAAGATTCAGAGACTTTTTGGTTCCATGTACAATACGTCTATGCTTGTTGCCTGTGAAGATGCTGCATTCGTGGTTTTTAAAAATGCACAATTTCGTTTTCTCCTTAGACACCGAACACCTGTTCATTGTAGAACTGTATAAAGTATGGATAAGCCAAACGATGGAAATTGAAATTGAAAATTCTACCACGTGGAGCTTACCACTGTTAACATTTTGGTGTGTATCTTTCAAATCTTAGGTGTCTGTGTGTCACATGTCACTGTTTTAGTACCTGTAAAGCCTGAGTCATTAAGGAAATGCTTTTAATGAAGATTAGGACATTATTAGTAAATAACAATTCATTAATCATTTAGCATTGGTGGTACAGAAATGACAGTGGGTAAAACTGACACCTCAGTGAATCAAGGCAGTGGAACCAAACTAGTAATGGTCATCCTTCATGTTCATACACTGGCGAAGGAGGTGGAGGTAGCTGGCTTTGCTTAAAAAAAAAAAAAAAAATGTCCTTGATGACGCTGTAAGAATTGTCAATTGTATTAAATCTCCACACCTGAGGACACATCTTTTTAATATTTTGTGTGACAAAATGGGAAGTATACATAAATCACTTCTTTCACATACTAATACAATAATTATCTTTTTTATTCTTCCACTTTTTAAAAAAACACTTCATTTTTAGGTAATCTCTATCCCCATGGTGAGACTGGAACTCAGGACCCTGAGATCAAGAGTTGCAAGCTCCAGAGACTGAGCCAGCCAGGCGCCCCACAATGTCTTTTGAGGGAAAGAAATTGTGTGATGTTTGAGTTGCAAGCTAAACTAACTGCTTTTTCAGTGGAAAATGGTTTTTACTTGAAAGAACAACAGACAAATTATGATTATTTAGCCTTAGACGCACTTGGTTTTGCTTCTCTGAAAGCAGGAGAGTTTCAAGCTCATGCCACCAGCACACGCAGTCCTATGGAAGAGAGAGGATATCTCACACCCAAAGGCCTCAGTAAACATTTTATTGCATTGTGTTACATCTTCACCAAACCAGTCCCTGGGGCCTGGGGATGGAATGTACTGATTGGCCTAGGCCATACAAGGTCCTCTCCTGAATCTCCATCCAAACTATAATAGTTAAGAGTAGAGGGTGTATGGTACCCCCAGGACGACATTGTATCTTTCAAAGGCAACTTTCACTTTGGACATCATATTTCTGTTTCAGGTTGTTTTCAGGTGGGAGTACAGAATAGCATGGCAGCCTGGCTCTGAATCCTGTCTGCCATTTACTGGCTGTGTGAACCTGGACAAGCTCCTTAACCACTCCTAATTCAGTCTTCTCTTCTGTGAAATGGTGCAGGTAAATTAATAATACTACAACACAGAGTTGTGAAGATTAGATGTATTAATATATGTAAAACACTTAGAACACTTCTGGGGCACATAGTACTCCATATTTTCAAGCAGAAGAAAACCCAATATAACTAGCTTAAGCAACAAAGGAAGTGTATCGGGTGACATAATTGCAGAGTTATGTAATTGCAACCTTCAGAGGTAGGGCAGGCTTTTGATCAGAGCTTTCATGGTTTCTCTACAATTGTCCTATTCAAATTTCTAGGACTCACATCCCCCAGTCCAGAAGAACACAGCCTGCTTTCCTATCTCCAGTCATTAAACAAAAGGCATAGGCTTCCCAGCTGAATGAATTTAGGTCATATGCCTCCCTGAACCATTCACAGTAGCCAAGAGAATCCCTTGCAATGACTGGTTTAGGGGTGAATTCTTTCCACATTTTTGCACTTAGGGGGATTGGATTATACTGACTGAGTAGGTGGGAGTAGAATCAGCTGCCAATGAACCCCTTTGCTGCTACACAGTGAATGGGGCTGACAAAAATGTCTACAATAATGAACAAAGTTCAATGTTTGAATTTATTTATAGTAATAAACTAATACAATGTTTCTAAAAATACCCTTTTTAGAATACAGAAAAATTGCAGAGAGAAAACAAACAGATCTTTAAATCTGATGCTCTGATAACCATTTGTGATGCAAGAAAATGCAAACATTTTATTCAGAAAAGTGTACGATACAGCATAGAAATATATTGGAGCAATTGGCAAAACTTGAATACAGACTATATAATAAATAATAGCATCAAAATTCAGTTGTCTTGGGGTCCCTGGCTGGCTCGATCAATAGAGCATGCAACTCTTTATCTCGGGTCATGAGTTTGAGCCCCACAATGGGTGTAGATTACTTAAAAACACACACACACACACAAAACCTTAAAAAAAAATCCTTAAAGGGGCACCTGGATGGCTTAATCGGTTAAGCGTCTGCCTTCAGCTCAGGTCATGATCCCAGGGTCCTGGGATCGAGCTCTGCATTGGGCTCCCTGCTTCAGCTGGGGTCTGCTTCTCCCTCTCCCTCTGTGCTCTCTCAAGTATAAATAAAACCTTAAAAACATCCTTAAACAAAACAAAGAAGTTCATTTGTCCTGAATTTGATGATTGCGGTGTGGTCATATAAGAGAATGTCATCAGAAGAGACACACTGAAGTATTTAGTAGTTAAGGGACAGAATTTCTGAAACTTACTCTCAATTGGTTTGAAAGTGTATATATATATGTATATATATGTGTATATATGGCTTTTACATGTTACTTTTACACACATGCACACACAAATGTTAACATTTGGCAAATCTGGGTAAAGATTTGCAGTTCTTCTGTATTTGGAAGTATTTAAAAATAAGAGTGTCTGGAGAAACAGGCATAAAACTTTTGTTACCAGATTTGTGACTTCTATGCAGTCTTTTATGACAAAGGTTAAAAAAATAAAACTAAAAAATGCAACACAAACCTGCCTTATCTCTTCCTTCAATAATAGCCAGAAACCCCTGCTAAGTTCCTACTGTGTCCTATCAAGGAAAAAACTGAAAGCAATATATTTCTATATTAAGATTTTTTTTTAGCCCACCTCCTCTATATCAAGATTTTTAAAGAGAATTATTTTGGAAATCAGCTGTGGTGCTTTGGTTAAAGCAGATGCCCAAGCAAACGACCTGCGAGCGATCACCCTGGCATAAACCCTCTGCAGAAGCTCTGGGGTTCGGGCCAAGGTGGGGCTGAGAACTGGCCCGCTGCATGCCGGGATCTGGAGTCTTTCTTCACCCAACTGCAAAGCGCTCTGGGATTGCCCGGCCGCTCCCATATCTCGCGATGCTATCGTCTCTTCTTCGCCCTATGACCCCCCCCAACTTAACGTGTTTTTTAAATCCGCCAATGGGAGCGCAGCGTAGGCTCGAACCAGCCAATCGGAATGCGGGGACACCGGGAAATTTAAATCGCGCCGGCCGGCTGCACGAGCCACACCGTCTTTGGGGTGATCCGTGGTGGACGTTTTGAGGGCAGCTGTCCTGCGGCTTGCGCGCCCCGGACCGCCTCCCGTGGAAGCTTGAGCCGGCTGTGTAGGTACGAACTCAGGCCGGAGCCCGGCCCGAGTGATAACGGCAGATGTGCAGGCCGCCCTCCGCTTGCGGGTGGCGGGAGGGGAGGCCGGGAGTACACGCCCGACCTGGCTCTGGCCTCCTTCGTTGACGAGGCTCCGGGGGCGTCGTTCGTTGACGAGGCGGCTGTTTCGCGGTGCGAGTGCTTGGGTTTTAGGGCGCCGAGGCTCTGCGAACCGCGGCTAGACCTCTGGCGCGTCGCGGCCGGGAAAATCAATGAGGCCCGAGGGCGAGAGTCACGGGAGGTGGCCCAGCGCCTCTCGCCCCTCCTCCGCCCGTTCCCCGCTGCATCTTCCCGGGTGGGGGGCAGGGGAAGGGCCTGGAGATGGGGGTGGCAGTTGGAGGAACTGTCTCTTAACACGTAGGCCCAGGGCTGGCTGTGACACAGCGTCGGAAAAGAACCTCACGGAACGAAAGATAACAAATATTAAGGAGGATTTGTACTTGTGTCCCCTTTCGTCTATTGGTCTTAAAGTCTGAATGAAGCACAGTTGATATCGGCCTAATTAAGTGCATTCACTCGAAATTTCTGGAAATGAAAATGTTTGCGAGATGCTGAGGATGCAGAACTGTGTCTCGAGTTTTCAGTGTTGACACGGAATGTTACCGAAGACTCCATAATGTGATGATGAGCCAAATATTTATTTAATTTTTAAGTGTGGAGAATGTACCTATTTTGGCTATTTAAAGACAATAGAGAGAGCCTCCAGGATATGGATTTATTGCCCGTAGGCCATAGGTTTTAACTGTGAGCTAGTTCCCCTATTTTGCCTTAAGTTAACTATTTAATTGAAATAGTCCAGTTGCATTGTCCAGTATGGTAGTCACCAGGCTGATGTGGCTAGTCCGGTTGGGATATGCTGTAAGCCTAAACTACACACAGGATTTTGGAGAATTAGGATGAAAAAAGTGTAAAATATCTCAAAAACTCGAAATATTATAACGTTGCAATGAGAACATATTGGATGTGTTGGGTTAAATAAAAGAGATTAAAATTAATTTCACTCATTTCTTTTTGCTGCTTTGAAAAATGTGGTTGCTAGGATATTTAAATTTATACAACTTGCTTTCTATTTCTGATGGACAGCACTGCTCCAGGAAGTCTCAGCCCTTCAGAGGGGAGGGGACTAATACTGTTTGGCCAGTTCACTATTTCATAGTATGGAAAAAGGAAGTTGCTCCTCTAATATACAAGTGTGGATGCAGTATTTGATAATTCTATAATGCTTTTCTTATTGACAAAACAAAATGATAAAGGGGAATTTTTTTCTCTCCATCTTACAGCTTTCTCCCTTTGTCTCATAACCATGTCCACCAACGAGAATGCTAATTCACCAGCTGCTCGCCTTAACAGATTCAAGAACAAGGGGAAAGACAGTACAGTGAGTACCTTCTGTTGCTTTCCTGTGCTGTTTTGTAAATGGAAAGGTATTTGGGAAGGGATCAGAACTTTGAGGAAATTTGAAATAAATGTCCTCACTTCGCAACAAAAAACTGATACAGTAGGTGAAGTGGTTTATCTTTTTCCAAGGAAATGAGGCGGCGCCGAATAGAAGTTAATGTGGAGCTAAGGAAAGCTAAGAAGGATGACCAGATGCTGAAAAGGAGAAACGTAAGCTCGTTTCCTGATGATGCTACCTCTCCACTACAGGAAAACCGCAACAACCAGGTAAATATATATTTTAGATTATGAATTACGGCAAACCCACAAAATCAATATGGTGATTTTCTTAGAAATTTAAATAGTAAGGGGCTTCTGGGTGGCTCAGTGGCTTAAGCATCAGGTCTTGGTCTCAGGCTTGTGAGATGAGCCTGGCATTGGGCTCCACACTGGGTATGGAGCCTACTTAAAAAAAGAAAGAAATTTAAATAATATTCTTAGCCTAATTTTTTTATTAAATTTTTTTTTTAAGATTTTATTTATTTATTTGAGAGAGAGAATGAGATAGAGAGAGAGCATGAGAAGGGGGGAGGGTCCGAGGGAGAAGCAGACTCCCTGCCGAGCAGGGAGTCCGATGCGGAACTCGATCCCGGGACTCCAGGATCATGACCTGAGCCGAAGGCAGTCGCTTAACCAACTGAGCCACTCAGGCGCCCTTAAAGATTTATTTATTTATTTTGAGAGAGTGAGAATGAGAGAGAGAGAGAGAGTACATGAGAGGGGGGAGGGTTAGAGGGAGAAGCAGGCTCTTCGCTGAGCAGGGAGCCCGATGCGGGACTCGATCTCGGGACTCCGGGATCACTTAGCCTAATGGTTTTAACTGTCAACTCTGTGAAGATCTTTTTTTCTGCTCCCAGTCAGGAATTCTGTTGGGTTGTCTCCTTTCCTACCCACTCTCCCTAATCTACTGGAGCTGATTCCAAGGTCTCCTTTAGCTCTGAACTCCCTTCAGGTTTCCCTGCATTTCCACCCACCAGTTCAGTACCTTGACTGGCCAGTCCAATGTTAACTGAAGGTTAGTGTGTCTAGAACCAATCACTTTCTGCCTTTTTTTGGGTGTTCCTGTTTTTTGTACTTTTCACCAGCTTTGTTCAGATCTTTTTCCTCCTGAAATATTTTCAGTGGTCTTCTAATTTATCTTTCCCTTCATTCTATGCCACATAATGCTTACCTAAACATAGTCTTAAAATACTGCTTTAGACCTCTTCTTTCTCTGCTTAAAAACTTTGGTAGTTTTAAATCCATATTCTTAGAAAAAAATATTGTGTGTGTGTAAATTAGATCAGTCTTAGATTTTCAATTTCTTTTTTATCTTTCAAAGATACTGGGAATCTTTAGTGCCTCAATTTTTTTTTTTTTCCCACCAAATAGTCCTATGTGCTATTTCTAGAGTACTATATTCAAATCCTGTATTCTTATAGCACTCCTTGGTCAACCTAGCAGGAAAAATGTTCCCTTTTCAGGATTCCCATAGCATCCCAGCTGTGCACTAAGATGGAGAGTAAATGCTAACATAACATGAATATTCACCATTTGTTTTATGGTTATCTATTTTTCACATTGTCCTTGTTGTAAGCTACAGAAAAAGGGATGCTATCTTTTTGAGTTAACTGTAGCACTGATTCTCAAACCCTTCTACTGTGATTACAACATGAAACATTTTTGTAGCACTGTACTGTGGAAATGCAGAGATTATAAGCTTAGATACGAAAATCCCCAGCACGTTGCATACGTAACTCCATCCCTTTCTCCCTAACAGCATATCTGAATGCAAGTGATTGAGACTAATGTAGGAACAACCTTCAAACTGCTCTAATTTCATTTATTAAATTGTTCATAGTCTCTTCTTTTAGTGACAAAATACTGGGATGATACTCCATAACTGGAGATTCCAGTGAGTCATACACCAAGTTTGAGCACTGTTCTGCATGTGAAAGAACGAATATTTAATTAATAGCCAAAATTAGATGTAAGGTTAAACTGTTAGTAACTGATTATAAACCTAAAAATGTCTTCACAGTGGCAAGTAGGGATTTTATTGTTTGTATTTAATGTTAAAAATGATAATTTGTGAAATTAATACCACTGTCCTTGCAGGGCACTGTAAATTGGTCTGTTGATGACATTGTCAAAGGCATAAATAGCAACAATTTGGAAAGCCAGCTCCAGGCTACTCAAGCTGCTAGGTAAGTCTTTTCTGCCAAAGCATGGGTAACCTAAGATATCAGCCCTCTTGGATTTTTTTGGTGGGAAAGAGACAGACAGATAGCATGGGTAAAATAAAAGTTAAGTTTGCCATAGGCCTATTTGCATTAGACTCTTCCCTTAGGTGAAACTGTGATTTTGTATAAATCACAGCTGCCTAAAGTCCTGCCCACCCCAGTGATAATCACTGTTAACCTTTTGGTGTGCTTTTTAAGTAAATTACAAAGTTTTTGTCAAGGTGGCATTTCAAATTGGTGTCAGAGAAAGAGGAATTATTCAATAAGTGGGATTTGCACATTCATTTAGAATGGCGCATTTACTCTTACCTTCTATCAAATACAAATATTTGTGACATCCATAACAAAGAATTAATAATTTCTATAGTTTGACAGTGTGCTGAAAAACAAATCCAATTGACAAATGATGAAGGAAAAGATGCTTAACCTCACTAGTAGTTAGGGAAACACAAATTAACAATGGTAGTGTAACTGTGTCAGATTGTCAAAGTTTTAAAGTGACAAGATCTAAAGTAGTTTGTGGGGATGCAGAGAGGAGGCTATTTTACATTATTGGTAATATTTCAGTTTTGGGGAAAAGGTAACTAAAGACACCATGTGTGGCAGCACCGTGCAACCAGTCTGTTCATCTCCTCTTAAATTCCAGGAGATTTCAACGTTTAGTGCATTACTTTAAAAGGTTATCTCAAGTTGAATTGCATTTTAAATTGATTTTTAAAGTTCACTTCTCTTGTTAATCATCTTCAACTTTTGTTTCTCTTTCTGCTTATCCTTAGGAAACTGCTTTCTAGGGAAAAACAGCCCCCCATAGACAACATAATCCGGGCTGGTTTGATTCCAAAATTTGTGTCCTTCTTGGGCAGAACTGATTGTAGTCCCATTCAGTTTGAATCTGCTTGGGCTCTCACTAACATTGCTTCTGGGACGTCAGAACAGACCAAGGCTGTGGTAGATGGAGGTGCTATTCCAGCATTCATTTCTCTGTTGGCATCTTCCCATGCCCACATCAGTGAACAAGC